ATATTTTCTTTAATTTCATAACAGAAGGAGAGCAAAGACAGATGAGCAAAATGCAACCTCTTATATTGATACATTACTCCTATAGATATTAAGCTTTTATATTTAAAGCATGCAACACTGGGTTATAAATTAAAATCAACCCAAATTTAGTCTCAAACTTCAGATCATTTGCTAGTCCAAAAGGCATGCGAGTATACTTAATACTAATCAAGGTTGAAATCTTCTGTCTCCACTCCCTAGACATCGCGTTGTATTATGCCATGTCATACATGCATACATTCCAGAAACGGATATAATGGTAACTTCCACATTCAAGAGAAATGGGAACACAATCACAACTATGAATGCTACGTCTAAATGCTTTTTAAGTACAATGATTTTTCCAATACGAAAAGACATTAAATTAGTTGATGCATATAAATTCATGCATGGTCCACTCAATTTAAATAGTTAATCACAAAATGCCACATCATATTCTATGAAATATTTTTCTTAAAAAATTGTATATATAGCATTTTCCCAATCACATAACTCAACGATTATGCAAATCATTATTGTGTAAGTGCATGCCCCAACTTTGTCAAGAAAGCATAAATAAAAATCCCAAGAAACAAATTACTTACCTTAACGTTCCTTACTTGACGGGGACAGCCTGCTGGAATAAAAACCGCATCCCCAACTTTCTGAATAAAAGTCCATGGTTCAATTCCTATACAGCAAGATAATAATAACATCATCAAATATTTCATTATGTATCTTATGATAAGAAAATAATCATTGTTCAGACTGGGAATGTGAATTTTACAATTGAATTTGGATCTCTCGAAAATGATCCTTTTTTAAGTCGGTTCAGATACATTGTATCTCATATTATTCAAATATATGTATTTCAATGCCTTAAAATCCATTTATTCTAACTAGGTATTAATAATGATTCTCATATTTATCCTTTTAAATAAAATAATTTCAAATTCATGGTTATATTTTATCAAATGTACTTTTAAATGCATGTGATTTGAGCAGATACATTTGAAATACGTGCACCAAATATGAATTACAGTTTTCCACCAAAAAATATGAATTACAGTTCCCAGTGCAACCTATGTGTTGATCATACCATATTCCTCCTTAAGCTTGGCTTTATGCTCCGAAGTAAGGAAAAATGTTTGGTCATCTATGGGGTGAGTGACTCGCAAAACCCATAGAAATGACAATTAGTTTTGTTAGTTGACTATTAGCATTTTGTTATAAAAAATATGAAATTTAAATTCAATTTTATTTGTTAGTTCCGTAATTGGAATATTAACAATCAACTAATAGAATTAATAATCAGTTAACAAAAGTAACAGTCAATTAACAAAACTAACAAAACATTATAATTTGACGTGAAATAAGGGCTATTTTCTTCAATTTGTATACGTGAAAAGCTAAAAATGTCATAATATAAACTGAAGGGTTAAAATCTATAAATTTATTAAGGTAAAAGACTAAAAGTAAGATTTTGCTATTAGAAAGCAAGAGTCTAAGGGGGTTCCATTACTTTAGGTGGAGCCTAACATACACTTATAGATCCAAAATGCATGGACCTGAACCCCATGTTCTGGAACAGGTGGCCATCCCGCCTGTTTTAGTGTGGAGTTTACCAGCCAGGATCATGTCATGTGTTCGACCCCCCAGCCAAATCCATTACCCGTTCCCTATTAGGAAAAGTAAAATAGTTGTACAAATTGCCCTATTTCAAAAAAGAAAGAAGTGCACGAACTTGATATTGATGAGCAGGGGTGGCAAAAAGCCACTTATATGTTAATCTGATATTATATAACTGAATCTATGAAAATGAGTTATAGGGTTTATACATTTTAATTTATGATTTATAAATAACTTCTCATATCAATTTGTATAGGTCGTGGGTTAAGTTTAGGTCAACTTATGAGTTAAAAGATTGACTCGTTTGTTTTATTTATTATTATTATTATTCTTAAAAATATTATATTTATTATTCTTAATTATTTTTTTATTGATAATTCTTTCTATTAATTCATACTCTTCAACTTCCTATTTATTACTCATATGGTTTTAAACTTGTTTAGAATGTTTTTTCATATTATTTTTTTTTCCTTCTCTAGAAATTATGTTTAGAAATTATGTGAGTTTAATTTGATTATCAAGTATTGTGAATTAAAAAATAATGCAATTAAAAGTACTGAAGATGTGATTTGAGATAGACATAACGATTTAATAAAAGATGTTATTGGAAGAGCAATTTCATCTTAAGGAGAAGCTTAAACTCCTTAATAAATTATGTTTCAAGATGATAATTGTAAAATTTAACTTTATTTTTCAAGAAATTGTAATATTTTAAATTTAATATTGTTAATTAACTTATCGTTAAATATAATATAATTTTTTCTTAATTTAAATGTTTGTAATGGAGATTATAAAATACTTAGTATCAATAAGTTATAGTACTTTAAAATTTTAAGTTTTAATTAGATTTAGATATCAGTAATTTTATTTAAATATAATAAAATTAAAAAAACAATTGTAAAAAATAAAAAAATAATAAACCTATGATTTGTCCCGTAGCCTGTTAAAGTCAGGTTAGTAACATCTTTATTAATTCCTGACCTACTTACAACTCAACCCATATAATCTTCAGTTAATTTGACCTAACTCAAACTTAGACCCAAGCAGTTGGTTTGCTAGGCATATTGATGAATTAGAAGAAAGTAATGCACTGGATATGTCAACACCAAATGCCCCTAACCAAGGTTATTAATATCGTATCGTACCAGTTGGTATAATTGATATGTATTAGTTTTCAAATTAAATCAAAACGATACATGATCCAATTTCATTTTGATCAAATTTCACCTATTTCGGTCAAGTTTCAGTGTATTGGCCTATATTTCGATGTAACAACCGGTGCAAAAAAATTGTCCGATACAATTCAATTCAAATTTAAAAAGGATAAATTTCATTTTTGGTCCTCAACTTTAATATTTTACATAATTTTCATCCTTTAACTTTTTAATATACTTTTTTAGTCCATTCTTCATATATTTTTTAGTCATTCTATCAATTATATTATTAAATTTGTCTAAATACGCACATTTTTAATCCTTTAATTTAAAATAGATGGATGAAAAATATACATATATTAGAAGTTGAGGGACTAAATATGATCGTTTTAAACTTGTTTTCAATTTATAAGAATATAATGGTTTTAAACATTAATATCTCTTATTTTATTTTAAAATTTGATATTTAATTTATACAAATATATATATTTATAGCGATAAATCCGAAATGGTACGTGAAAAATTTTGGTATCCGGTACATACTGTTTTAGCAACAAAACCGGTACACATGCTGGTACGATATTAACAACTTTGCCCCTAACATTAACTTCTTTGGGCTAAGGCAATGCAAAGAATTATGAATAGCTTCTCTACACTTACTCACATTTTCAGAATTTTCAAACATTAAACTTGGCACTTACATAATAAATTAGGTATGATGAAGCATTATTTGGTTGAATTAAGGTTTAACTTAAATAATTTGGTTCTGGTATCAACCGTTCAAATTATTCATCTAGGAAGATAAACTCGTTGACAAGTATAAATAATAATAGGAACAAAAAATCAACAAAAGGCAATCTAAAAAAAAAAAAAAACACAATGAACAATGACTTAATTAATTCAGTAATAATTTTTTTTGATTAAAAATAAAATATTTTTAATTCAAATTGCGTGACATGGGATAGGGTGAGTTTAAAAATAAGAGAATGTTACCTCTTGTTATGTAATCAATATCAAAAAAAAAAAATAAAAAAACACAATGAAAATGCTCCAACTTAGATCTAGAACATGCTATCGAGAGAAATGACGAAAACTCAAAGGAGATGCACTTAGGGAGGGGTTTGAGGGGCTGACAACAAGAAGCGGGTTCACATGAGAGCTTTTGTGAGTGAAAAATGAACAAAAGTCATGAGAGAGGCTTCTTTGACATCGGTCACTTCAGAGACATGCAAAAGCCGCAAGGTAAATTCATTTTGCAATTAAAATCCCCAAGTTAAATGTCCAGCATTAGATCTAGTGGTCATTTCCTTGGTGCAAAATGTTAGAACGTAAAGTTTTGACTTCAATACTTAAGCATGATTCTCTATCTTAAAAAATTCCCTAAGTTAAAAAAAAAAAAAAATCCCCAAGTTAAATACATGATTTTAGTCTTTAGAAAGCATCAGTCAAGCTCATGTTTTTGACCATATAATTAAACAGTAATACCGAAATTGAAAGACCCAAATTCACTTTTTAAAATTTCAGGCTTTTAAACAAGCTCTTTGAGTTTTCATCAAAAATAAATTTTAAAATTTAAAATATCAGAAGTATTGATTTTTGCTTTGAGTCTCTAACTCCGACTTCCAAAACTACAAACAGGGGATATTGGACGAGGGAGAGTTCCTAGTCAAAAACAAATTTTGAGCCCCTCGTCTTATCAAGATTTTATCTTTTTATTTTATATTATGATATTTTTAACTATTTATCTTATTAAATTTGTAAGTTTTAATTCCTTATTTATTAAAATAAAAAAAATAACCTTCATTTTATATTGACCGTTAACTCTGTTAGTTGAAAGTAAATTTTTATTAACTAATAATCAACTAATTATAAAATAAAATTAACGAAATATTATAAAATTAATTCGATTAATTTTGTTAATTAAAAGAAAGTTTTTATAAGTTAACAGTTAACTAACAGTTAATTAATAAAATTAACAATTAATTAATAAAATTAATAAAATATTACAAAATAAAGATAATTTTTTTAATTTTAATAAATAAAAAACTAAAAAAAAAACATAGAATAAGATGATGAGAGACTAAAAACAGGCTTTTGCCGAGTTCCTAAGTCCTATTCGATCCAATGGTAATTATTGTGCAATTTGCTGTAGCATAGACTGTACGATTTTTTTTTCCTTTCACAATTCATTACAGTATTTCGGAATTCAGGGGAAGAAAAAGAAGTGCAGAACTGAGTCCATCGGAATTCGTATGGAGAAGGTGGAAGCGGCGAAGAGGCGATGTGAAGTAGTGATTGAGAGAATCTCTTCCGCAAACATCAACCATCTTTGTAAGCGCACCCTCTTCAAGTTGGCCACAGCCGAGCTATCTTTCCTCTCTCGCCTAACCCTCCCTGATGCAGCCGCCCCCCTCAGGTTTTCCATCCTCTTTCTTCCAATTCTGAAATTTCCCTTAATTAATTCTGCAATCAAACATGTTCTTTCCAACTATTTGTGCTTAGATTTTGTTTATAATGATTCTCTGCTTTCAATCTACGTACTTGTGAAGCTGAAAATAAAAAATTTTCAAGCAATTCCTATGCAAGAAAATGGTCTCCTGATGATTTCAGTTGTTGGGTGTGGGAATTTGAGTGTCCTTGTTTTGCAATGGCAGTGTCAACATAGGGCATCTCGAGGCGGTTCTCTATATTCTTCAGCAGCCTTTCATAACTGCTGTTTCAAGGGTATGCAAGCCGCTGTCACTCTCTTCAGGAATTGGAAATGAGCAGAAGATTGCTCCTTCTTTGAAAGGCATCCATGTGGATGTGGTGTGCACTCTCAATAAAACCCCAGTATGGATTATTGTGTCTGATAGGAATCCAAGATATGTTTCTTGGCATGAGGGTCACAAGAGCAAGGGTTTGAAGTGGAGAATCGAGCAGGTCCTTGTTGCAGCTCGGTCTACTCAGACATTAAGACCTTCCTCAATTATTCTTTTCTTCTCAAATGGACTTGTTGATTCTATTCGTGAGAAGCTGGAAGGTGAATATGGGGCCTTGGAGCTTGAATTGAAGTTCACTGCCTTTGATTTTGATTTTGATGATTCTGAGGAATTAGAAGGTGAGTGGGTGAATGTGCTCGTGAGATCATATAAGGACGCATGTGTTCTAGAAATTGAGGTTGATAACACCACAAACTCCATCTCAAGCTTTAAACATGGAGTCAAAGATTCAATTCAGGATATTTCATCACCCAAGCTCGAAGAGAAAAATGCTAATCTAAACTTGGGTGATTCTTTTTGTTCATTTCTTTCAAGTATGAAGTTCTGTGTGGAATCTACAAAGGCAGAGGATTTGTCAGGAGAAGAAGACGTTATAAACTTTGATACGACAGCTTTGATTGCTATTGTATCGGGAATTAGCAATGGTTCCATTGAGAAACTTTTGGCTGTGCCAGAGTGTAAGCTACGACAGCGTTTTAAGGGAAACTATGAATTTGTGATTGAACAGGTATGGTTTTCACAGAAGATAGGTGCTTCATACTGCTTCAATTTAACCACTAAGCTGAAATACATAGGCTGTCAGCTATTATTTTTAATGTAATGTTAAAGTTACATGTGAATGAATGAAATGGTTAAATTGTGTTGTCTGTTAATTTTTAACTTTTTAAATTTAATTATCTCTTCTCTTTAGTTAGTTACATTGCTCTTGACTTTTTTGGAAACAATAATAGCTGACTTGCTATGTGTTAGTGGCTAACTTGCTAAACCTTTTTGCAATCTAACCACTAAACCATTTTAAAGGTGACTTCAGGTGGATGAATGGAATGATTACATTAATCTTTTGTAAGAAAAAAGACAATAACCATTAATTTCAATAATTCAATGTAATGCTAAGGTTTGTATCTTGCATAAAGCTGTATGATGATTTCTAAATAATTATCCTTCAAAATTTTTAGCTTGAACTTATGAAAAGAGTGTAAATTGATCATTTTTTGAACTATGGCGTCTTGATAGCAATTATTTTAGTTTATTGTTTTTGATTGTATTTTGTGTTAAACCATATGGTGTCTATATACTTTTGCCTTATTTTAGTATTGTAGCTTATTTGGAATAAAATATTGCTTTACCACTTGCCAGGTGATGTCTGAAATTAAGAACCCAATACATGCGGAGCTGAATGGTATGATTTCTGGAATGAGAGGCATGATATGTGAAAGTGTTTTGAGAGAGTTCAAGGAGTTAATATCGATGTGTGGAGGGCCTACTGAAAAGTGTAGAGCTGATCATCTTCTAAAATGCCTCATGTAAGTTAATTTGTCGATCTCTTCTCTTTAACTTTGTATTTTTTTTTTTCTTGAATAATCTAAATTCAAATGAAATCTAGTAAGGAAATAGGTAATGCAGTTGATTTTAAAATACTAAATTATTGTTGGAAAACTGTAAGTTGGTTTTCCTGATCCCTTGTCTTTAGTGTTTATTCTGCTAAAATGCTGAAATTTCTGTTACCATACTCGAAACTTGCACTAGTTCTACCTATATGTCCCTTCAAAAGCCTCTTTAAATGTAATCTCTCTACCAGGTATCTCTTTTGAATTGACCACCTACCTGTGCTTCCCAAAGCCTTTTCTTTGCATTCACAAGTCTCATTTGTGTGGCATTAGTATAGCCATGACATGTTAAAGGATTTCCCTAGAATAGAAGTTCATCAGCATAATGGTATCATCTACACCTTGTGTTGCAAGAGCAAACAAAATTATTCCTCTTGCCATCCTATTTTTCTCTATATCTATATATCAAAGTTTACCATCAGGAACAAGCCATCCATGAGGTGTAGTCTGGCATTAGGGAAGACTCATTGGGGGTAAATTGTGCAAATTAAATAGTGTGAGTTATCTTGAATATGTTGTAATTTTTTCATAAGTTATATTTCAAGATAATCAACCTAAAAGATGATTTTTTTTTTCCCATGAAGGCTGAAGCAACCAAAAGATATTATTGTTGAGAATTTAAAAATGTGGAGGGAACTCAGATCATACCAAATCTTTTCATATCCCGTCCTGTTTTGATAATATGATTTTGGTTTAGGGTAGGGAGATTTAGCACTTAATGTATCTTGTATGAGTTGGGAGTAGACTGAAAGATTAAAATGTAGGATTAAAATGTAGGACACCTATTGTGGAATTTGGTTGTTTACATTTTCTGTAACTAATATAAATGAGAAATGTCACAGGGTTGTGCCTGACAGTCCCTCAGAACGCATGATGGAACTTCCGACAACCAGAAAGCTGGCATTGAAAAACAAGATTGTTTTTGGATCAGGGGATTACTGGCATGCTCCGACTTTGACAGCAAACATGGCATTTGTGAGAGCAGTTGCACAGACTGGGATGTCCCTCTTTACACTTGAGCATAGACCAAGAGCCTTAACTGGTGACTAGCTACATAGTTAATCATGGAACTAACTACAGAGGAATGTGATTTATGCAGAACCATTACTTGTTTTAGGATACCTGATCACTGGTAAGACATCCTAAGCTATCTCCTCATTTATTGTTGAGTTCATTTTGCAGATAGTTTCTATGTCTAACATATTAGCATAGCAGTTAGGTACATAAAGTCCAATATATGGTATATGGTTAACGGTACTTGATTGATGTTAGAGCATATGGAGGACTAGCTTTTTGGCTGTTTGAGTACTAAACAGGATTTTTCATTTTATCAGGCTGCTGGTATTTCCCTGATTGGTTGAAGACCTGTGTTTCTCAATAAATAGCATGTGTATTTCATCTATTTCGAATAAGGAATGAATGGTGGTAAAAAAGAAAGAAAAAAGAATAAGGAATAAATGAATTTCTTCTGCCAAAATGAAAAGAAATTAAAAATACATAAATTGTCGGCAGATTAAATGATAAAAACGAAGGCTTCCTTTAGTATAGATTTGGTTTTGACTTTTGAGTTTTTGGTTTTGGTTTTCATAAATTTTGCAACTTTAAATTATAGACTCTTTTACTTTAATGTATTTTTCCAATATATTTTTATGATTACTGAAGAAATAAAAAAATAGTTTTAATACTATTAAAGAAATGAGAAAATCATTTTGTAGGTTGCCTTTTTAAATATTTTTTGGAAAATATCTTTAAAATCTTTTTTTAATTAATATTTTTAAAAATCAATTATTGTATTGAAAGTTTTATTCATATAAATTATATATATCAAATTTTAAATTATTTTAATAAATTTAATCATTTCATTGATTATAAGAAATTTAATAGTATTAAATATATATAAATAAATAGAGTTTTTTATTAAAAAGTTATAAATGTTAAAATAATATAAAAATTGATATATATAATTTATATAAATAAAATATTTAATTTAATATTTATTTTTAAAAACATTAATTAAAAAATAAGTTTTTAAACCCATCTTTTAAAGCACGGTTTCTAAAATATATATATATATTTTGTTGTCAGAGTTGAAATTTCCAATTGAACCCGGGTGCATCCTGCAAATTTCTTCGATTTAGAGAATATCACCTGTTTCGTTGACCACCGATATCTAACATTCATGATGTTGGCTGGCATATAGATTGCCTACAAATACAAGGGTCTATCTAGGTTCAGTTGTTGACCTACCTTTACTGTGTAGGAGTAAAAGAAGCCCTTTAGACAATTCTATTGCTGTTTCTTCAATGTTACTCTACCAATATTTTTGTTCCATAATCACTAGAATGGTATGATATTCTTTAAATTAAAGAAGGAAAGTACAATTTACGTGGTTTGATTGTAAATTCTGTAAAGGCTACAAACATACCCAACTGTTCAAACTCAATCACAAATGCAAAGATGAATATCAAAAAATGTCGATTGGTGGTGTAATATTATGTGTAAAAACAAATCTTAGTATAGGAGGAAAAGTGGGACGCTTTGGTGTGATTGAGAAATTTAGAGCTTCAATCCAAATCTACAGTTACTAGCCTTGATGCTTATGAGATTGTTTGCAGATAAACTATCCACCACCAGATTGCATTGTCCCAAAATCTTCATCTTCCTCAGCTTCAAGCTTCCCAGTTTGATGGCCACGGGCGCCACCACCTTAAGTTCCAGTGGAATGCGTCCGGTTTGCTGTTGCTCTTGCAATGCTGCCATTATTGTGCTCCCATACTCATTCTGTCCAGTCAAAGCCAGATCCAGTTTTGTGATGTTCTGATGCCCTTGGTAGAATTTCGGCAACGACCCTTCACAAAGCATGCTGTTGGTGTACCAGACGCTTAACCGGCTCCCTTTTTCGTAGTAAATTCCAATCTTCTCGTTGGGATTATTGGCGGTGATCTTGACGTTGAACTTGGCATAGAGACTGAGGTCGTAGTTGAGCCTTAAGTCACTTATATTAAGATTGTTGATGGAATATTTTGGAAGCTTTGGTCTGAAGATAAGATAAAGAATGCCAGCTGTAGCAGCAATGAGGATGAGGATGACGAAGAGAAGGCTGATCGTCCAGCAAATGAACTTGCAACAGCAGCTCCTTTGCCGCCGGCGTGGAAGCACTTTTTCAGATGTTGCATGGCCCTGCGGTACTAGAGGTACAGTTACCATGGACGGCGGTCGTGGTGCCATATTTAGCATACCTTTGTCTGATGTTGCAGAGCCCCGAGACAACATAGATGCCATTACTGGTGGTGGTCGTGGCGGTGGTGATTTAACATCAACCACTGGATGAATCCTCTTCTGTTGGTCTTCCATTACTTGCTTCTTGGAAATAAATTTCATGCATGCTGCAAGGTGATTATGATGTTATATAATGTGAGTTAAGTAAGACTTTCGGTTTTTTAGTTGACATTTTTATTGGGAATACAGATAAGAGCTCTGAATCCTCACCTTCCTCACCTAATAACAGCATATATTCAAACACAAGGCGTGCGTGGGTAGTTCAGCTAAGAAAGAACTATTTGTTCCCAAGAAAAATTGGCATATGCCCAATTTCTCACTTCTATTGGACAGATTTTCACGGAAATCAAGGACACGCACAGGACACAGATTCTATCAAAATTGCTTAGCCATTTTAGTTATTTTTTTTCACAAGAATCATTACTTTCAAAACAAGTTTTATTGAGCCACGAAACGTACAACATATTAACATGCATAAGGGTAAGCCGGTTTGTTAAAGTAACCTCATTGATAATTTCCTTTTTAATGAAATTTAACAGCTTCTGGATTTTAAGATTCTTAGTTATATGATAATATAATGAAAAAGTGTTTTATAATTTAAAATAATTCAAACTTTAAAATATTAATCATTTGATAAGAGTTGAGTCTCTTATATCAAGAACCTTTTTTTCATCAATCAATTCTTGTTTTATAGTTTGCATTAGTCTGAATAATAAAATAAGATATCATAATATTAAAATTAAGAGCTTTTATATATTTTTTAATATAAAAAGTAGTAATTATTGACCAATCATTTTTTTCTTAGCATATGTGCTAAATGCACATAATAATAATAATAATAATAATAATAACCCCAAAAGCAATTATATAACATATTTAACTTAGCTTAAGGATAAGGGTGTGGTTATGACCACCAATTCATTTATTAAAATCATCAAATTTGTATTTAATTTGACTAATATATATTTATAATTTTTTTAAACAGATAAATATGACATTTAAAAATATCAGTTTATAAATTGATTTTAATTTATTAGATGTTAAATATCAGTTGTTCTTTTAATCATTAATTATTCTTTACAATCAAATCAAACAAAATCCATATTTTTAACACAATTTTAATAGTTTTAACAAATAGATTGGTGGCCATAACTACATCCAAGAATAAGCTTAACAAACTGGCGTGTAGATATGTCTTAAATGAATTAAAGATTAACAAAGAAGCACAAAACATTAAATAAATAGTTAAGCGCCAAGGAGTTGTGGTTTAGTTAACATAAGAGTTTTTTCCCTATTTTGTTGGTTTGATTTTTTAAGAAAGTCAATAAAGAGGTAATTTTTTATAGAGTCCTTAATTTCAACATAAATAACCAATCTTTAACCAAATCAAAGAAGTATTAGTCTTGAGAGGCAAACAAACTAACTCAAAAACACCTTCATGCTAAGCTTAAAATAAAAATAGAAATAAAAATAAAAAACAATTAAGCTGTGTATATATATTCAAAGAAAGTCAGCATATAAAAATATCAATATCATCAAAATGCTATGGTCTATGGCGTCCAGAAAATGTGCATGTACTCACATTTGTGCCACAACCAAACAGACGACATCTATGCTGCACAATGACAGTGAGGATTTTGGCTTAATTTGATAGTGCTGGTCTATAGTTGTAGTTATAGGTTTTTTGGTCCTTTAAAATCCTCAAAATATATAAAATATATTTAATATATTTCATATTTAATTTAATTAATATTTTACATATTTTTAAAATAATGAAAAATATAAAAACTGAGGGCTAAAAAACCAAGAAGTGTTGTCAAACGAAGTCTTTATATTACAGGCTCCAATTGCATTACAATGCGAAGAAAATCAGGCAATGAAACCATATATTTGACTTGAGAATGTCAGAGAAGATAGATTTTGCTAGAATTATGATATGTAAAAATGAGATTAAGACTTACATTTATAAAAACTAAAATCACATGTACCTCAAATATATGGAAATTACCTAACATTTATATTCGTTGGAAAAAAAATCTAAATTTTAGTTTCAAACAAAATCATTATTGCTTTACTAAATATTAATATATATCAATAAAAAAAATTGCAATTAATATCTAACCTAAAATTATGCAATTTTAATAAACACTTTACAATTGTATTTCAAAACTACATATATAAACTACACTATAGCTATTGTATTTGCTGTTAGGGGTTAACTTTAATAAAGAAAAATTTGGGGAATAAAATTCTACCTGACACTTAAATTTTTTTTTTTTTTCAATCTACCTAAAATACTTCTCTCTCTCTATATATATATCTTTCCAATTACCATATAATTGAATGGATTTAAAACAATGTTGTTTAAAGATTTTTCCTCTGAAGGGAAAATTTTATACCATTTATAAGTGAGAAAAACTTTATTGTTATAAAAATTATAGATTAGTAAATAAAGAAATTCCACATCAATTAAGTACAAAATTTTGGGATTCATTAAATTTTATAAATAAACAAGCAATGCCAAACAAAAATAAATTAATGCAATGCATTACAACGATCTTGCCCATATTGTTATGCTTAAATATAGAAATAAAAATTCTATTTTTACTCACGTGTAGTGAATAATGAATGTATAATGACAACCAAAAATTAAATTAACACCCAAAAATTAAATTAACACATATGAAGAAATTACACATATATAAACTAATTAAAAATTTTCCTCCAAAAAATATCAGATAAACAAAAAGTAGGAAAAAGTCATTTGGTGTCATATGCATTGCCACATGAGTCTTTGTGTTTGGTCATATTGTGACACCAAATATCCTCAAAATCACCAAATCCTTGGCCACAGTTGTCACGGCTACATGGCTCATGGTCACTGTTAAAAAATATATAAAAAAAATGAGATTATATAATATAAACAAAAATAAAGATAGAAGATATCACGTCTTTTGATGTAGCAATTAAGCAAGGTATCGTGAACAAAAATGAGATTATATAATATGCTTCCGAAAATGTCAAATTACAGTTGACAAAAAGAGGTTAACTCAGTACAAAAATCTATATTAGTAATTACATGGTATATATTGCATAATTTACCTTGTTACAAGAAAAATGTTAATCAATTACTAAACCTCGGAAGAATTTCTTTTGAGTTTTTTTTACTAGGAGATAACTTACCCAATGGTAATTGACTATATTGATTTCCATCTAGTTATATTAAAAAATAACAAGTTTCCTTTTTCTTTTGCAACCAAACATATATATCTTAATTTTTGTATCAAAAAATTTAGTTTTCTAAGCCAACTTCACAAGGTAATGGCTTCCCAAAATATCTTCAATCGCTAAACAAATTCAGGGACGCCAACTTAGGGCTGACATTCATTAATGTTAGTCAAATTAATGAACTGCATAACCCAAAAAAAGGTTATACATAGGTCTCATTGATGTGGTTTTTAATTTACTAGACTGTGAGAGAAAATAAACTTTATATGTAAAAAATTAGATAATTAATAAATGAATTATTAAATTTACATAAAAATAAAAATTAAGATATTTTGACATTAAAAATTTAAAAATGTTCAATGTTAAACACATAATAAATTAAATTTAAAAAGAATATAAATTATATTTTATTTATCATATGATTTTACTTAAACATATTTAACATTTTTTAAAATCAAGACATTCTTATGTTTCACATTCTCTTAAGTTTAATGATTCTTTAATAGTGTTTTAATAAGGTCAACAAAGGAAACAAGTTTTTAGTGAGTCAATTTGAGCACAAGTCCTTGCCTTGAGCCAAGCTTGATCTTTTGAGTTCCTTTGCTAACTCAATTATCCTAATTTTGAAATTAAGCTCGATTTTGAACTCAGAGTCTTCCAAACTCAACAAAACTCTAGCTCAATATAAAGTGGAGTTCGAGCTAGGATACTTAAATACTCCAATCGGCTCAATTCCTTTGCAACCACAATTAAATTTTTCTTAACCACTCTCTCTGTCAAAAAAAAAAAAAAAAAAAAAGAAATAATTCAAAGAGTTAAATTTTTTAATATAAGTAAATATAATTTTATAGACTTAAATTTAAGATTTAAGTCTTAAATTAGTATTAAAAAATAATTTTTTAAAACATATTAAGTTGATATTAAGTTGATATAAAGTATGTTTTTAAAATTATTAAAAAAATTTAATTTTAAAATATACAAAAACTAACATTGATACCCATAGATAAAAGAAAATTTTCATAGGTCAAAGTTCAAACACATGGTATATGTCTATATGTATTTGCTAGTTTTAACTAATAAAAGGAGTGAAGGGCGGAAAAAAGAAAAAAAAGAAAAAAAAACTAATGAAAGGAGAAATCGAGGGATCCGTTTCCTTCCAGCGAAAAATGCCCTAGTTGCAGGTGGCGACAAATTTTCATCGTATCAGTGTCTGCTCTTCAACGATGAGGGTTCAGAAAACTGTATTTATATCTAATTCGGCGTCTTCTCGTTTAGCTTCTGCCACGCACTGTCAGGAAATGAGTAATACCAAATCTAACGTATCTATGCCATTGCTTTCTTGTTTCAGTACCTCTGCTAGTGGTAGCAACAAGTTTGAGAAATCCACGAGCAACAAAGGCAAACCCAAATGCGGGTTTGATAGCATTGATGATGCTCTGATATTGTTTGATCAGTTGCTTCATTCCTGTCCCCGTCCTCCTATGATATTTGGTCCATTATGAGGGGCAATTATTAGGATGAAATATTATGATGTTGCTATTTCTTTATGCAAACGGATGGAGTTAGAGAGTATTAGACATAATGTTATTACTCTTAGCATCCTAATTAACTCCTTCTGCCATTCAAGTCCTTTGGATTTTGGTTTTTCTATTCTAGGGGAAATGTTAAAGCTTTGTGTTGAACCTAATGTGGTAACATTCAAGACCTTGATGAATGGGCTTCGTGTAGAAGGTAAATTTGTTGAATCAGTTAGGTTATTTGAAAAGATGGTTTGGGATGGATATGAACCCAATTTAGTCACTTATAATACAATAGTAAATGGTCTATGTCAAATAGGAAGGACTGGTGATACTGTTAGGTTGTTGAGGAAGATAGAAGAAAGTGCTGTCCGGCCTGACATTGTAACATACAACACTGTCATTGACAGCCTTTGTAAGGATAGGCTTATAAGGGTTGCCCAAAACATCTTCTCTGAAATGGTGGGCAAAGGCATCCTTCCAATTTTTATCTCATATAGCTCCTTAGTTCAGGGTATGAGTAATTTGGGAAAGTGGGAGGAGGTTAAAAATTTATTGAATGAAATGGTGGCTATGAAAATCAAGCCAAACATGGTTAATTACAATGTATTCGTAGATGCATTTTCTAAGGAGGGGAGGGTGTAAGAGGCTGAAGATGTTATTAAAGACATGGTTAGGCAAGGGGTTGAGCCTAATATTATCACCTATGATAAATTGATGGATGGATACTGTTTGCATGGGGAAATGGAGCAAGCAAGAAACGTATTTGATTTGACGGTTGGCAAGAGTATTTGATCAGTGTATATTGTAAAGCTAAAAGAATAGATGAGACAATATATGAAGCTCTTTCATGAGATATCTCAAAAAGGATTAATCCCTGATACTGTAACTTATAGTACTCTTATAATGGGTAGTTGCCAGGTAAAAGGGCCGTGGGCTGGATATGAACTTTTCAAGGATATGATTGTCCATGGCCAAGCTCCAGACTCAGTGGCTTACTCAATTTTGCTGGATGGTTTCTGTAAACATGGTTATATTAAAGAGGCATTGAAGTTGTTTCAAGCATTGAAAGATAGTGGATTGCAACCTAATATCATCAGTTATAATGTCTTAATTGACTGCATGTGCGAGGCTGGGCAGCTTGAGGTTGCAAGGGAGTTATATTCTGGACTCTCTATGAAAGGTTTAAAACCTAATATTTACACGTACACTATGATGTCTAAAGGGCTTTGCAAAGCAGGATTGACTAATAATGCATATGATTTGTTCAGGAAAATGGAGGATGATTCGTTGCCAAATGATTGCAGTTATAATACAAGGGTTCAACAAGGATTGCTTAAAAATCATGATTTTGTCAAGGACAAGGCAAATACTTTGTGAAATGCATGATAATGGTTTTTCTGCAGATGCAACCACAACCACCATGTTAGTGGATCTTTTATGTAGAAATGGCATAGATCTACTGTCAAGTGATAAAGCCGAAGCAAACAAAGAGATAGCTGGTGGAGATGTAAAGTGACTTCTTCTCTGTAATGGTTGCAGCAACGTACAGCAAATCTTAACAAATTTTTGAACCATAACAGGAGTAATAACTGTAAGCTTCTGCTTTATCCTTCTACCCACTTGTTTATAGAACTTGTGCTATAAATGGTAGCATCAATTCTAAGTTTGTGAAAATGGTTATGGAAGATAAATCTATTTTCTCCATGTTTATAATCTTTACTTATATTTGAAATGACCCTCCTATCTCAAAAGAAAAGGCATAAGTTCAGAAGTAAATTGTCAAGCCTAGAAGTGGGCAAAATATAAGTGCCCAAGTATTTATACATGATAGCATTTTCTTCTTTAAACACAGATATGCTAAAGTTCTTACCTTCCTTGTTTCCTTTCTAAATGCTTTATCAGAGAAAAGAACATTAATATTTACGTTGAAGTTATTTTTATCTTTTCTTCTTTAATTATATTGGTAACTATGAGATCCAAATATTATTATACTGCTGGATGCTATATGCTGATACAACTAATAGACAATTCTGCTCAACTTGCAAAATTGTAGAAATTCCATTTATATGGAGGGTTTCATTATAATTTTTTCACTTGAATAGCATGACCTTCATTTCATTATATTTGATAGAATATATTGACTTCTCCTTGTATATGTTCATTGTTTTAAATACTTATTGCTACTTCTGTGGTTGTCACATTTGTTTTCTCTTTGGTCTTAGGTGGTACACTTTAATTTGGTTATGGAAGTTCGGGAATGATTAAATCTTCTCTGTTTTCCACTCTTAACGTGTTCCTAATTCTATTGTATCTTCATCAACTTACTAGGTGGAAATTTATAACTAGAGAATGGGTTGGACAAGAAATAATGTATATTGCTTGCTTGTAGTTTCTTTGGGAATGCTTTTTCCTTTTTTTCTTTTTCAAGTGATACTCTGCCTTTGGGTCAATTTGCATTTTAGAATTTTGGTGGTTCATTGATAATTCAATTGCTTTGCTAATCAACTTTTGTTGTTGCCATGTTGATCTTGCTTGTCTTTTTGCTTTGCTCAGGGTTGAACTCCAGCGCGTCTAAAAAGATATTGAAGCATATGATGTTTTGAGCCCAATGATCTTTTCTCTGTTGATGTGAGACTGTTACCTTCATAATAATCGCTAGTTCTCTGAGGTAACGGTATGGCACCAAAAATGGTTGAAAAGGTTAAGACACAACCTTGCTTCTTGAACAGTCAATACTGATCAACAGGGGGATTCTTCAGGCATATTGGACTTAATAAGTAATAGAAGTTCCGAAAAAATTGGCAGGAATCGGAATGTTCATAGTATAGAATATAAAGTAGACATCCTTGGTTTTTTTTTTTTGGTTTATTTTAGGAACCCTTTGGGTCTAAAAATAGAAGTTTAGTTGTTTAAACTGATTTAACTGTGGCAATTTTTTTGAATTGATAATGTGAACTCCACGATGGAATTTAGGTTTCTTATATGATCAATTTTATAATTTGTTCATGTGTTCTGAAGAATTATTTTTAGCTGATAAGGTAGCAAAGAAGGAATTGATAGGGTTGAGCCCTTGTTTTGCTTGGATGCAGTAACTTCTCTAATAGATCTATTTATGGTTCTACTTGCATGTCTGGGTAGTTTCTTTAATCCACAGTAGTCATCCAATCCAATAGTAGCAGCACCATCTTTGGTGGCGAGTGGCGACTGTAGTCATCCAATCCAATGGTAGCAGCACCATCTTTGGTGGCGACTGTAGTCATCCAATCCCATAGTAGCAGCACCATCTTCAATGGCTTCACTAGTAGGTTTAGCCATGTACAGTAGTCATCCAATCCAATAGTAGCAGCACCATCTTCAATGGCTTCACCAGTAGGTTCAGCCATGTCCTGTAGTTATCCAATCCAACAGTAACAGCACCATCTTCAGTGGCGACAGTAGTCATCCAATCCAATAGTAGCAGTACATCTTCAATGGCTTCACTTGTAGGGCCATCTTCAATGGCTTCACTAGTAGGTTCAGCCATGCAAAACACATGGTGGTGATCATGTTATCAAAACCTGCAACAACAACTGAACCTTAGCCACCGAGTACAAGGGGTTCTCTAAACACCTACACTGAACATAGCTTTCGTTTGTACCGAAAGGCATGAAAGCAGTGGCAAAAAGAAAATGTCACTGCATGATAGCCTTAGATTTTGAAAATTAAGGCACGTGAGTTTCAAAATAAAATTTACAACAAACTTAAAATTAATTGATAATAAGTGAATTTTTTATATATTTAACTCATATTTTTTAATTTTTTTAATGTAAAATTTTTTCATTTAACATGTTCAGTGCAAACAATAAAAGGTGTTGTTATAGTACATGATATAAAATAATACAAATCAGAATTTTAATATCACAAGGTTTAGGCCAAATGAAATAGTTTGCCATTAATCCTTTGGTGTTTGGAAAGTTAATAGAAGATAAGTCGAATGAAAACTAGTGAAGTCAATAGAAAATTGCATAAAGAAAACTTGAAAAGTAACTTCCGAAATTTCATTCCAGAAGTCGTTTTCCATAAAAACATGCAAATCTTTTGGATTCACTTGTTGCTCTTTAACTTGTTATTTAAACTGTACATCAACCTGTTTTCTACACGTGGATCCAAATTTATTTTCTGGGGTCATTAGCCTTCAAAGGTTGGAAGTTGTTTTCCATAAAAACATACAAATCTTTTGGATTCACTTGTTGCTCTTTAACTTGTTATTTAAACTGTACATCAACCCGTTTTCTACATGTGGATCTAAATTTATTTTCTGGGGTTATTAATCCCCAAAGATTGGACTTCACAGTCCGACACTATATAAATTATTTAATGGTCATGATTTTTTTTTTAAAAATAAATATTAAAGTAGTAATATTTTAAATTTTATATCTAATTCTTCTTTCATTTCTAAAATTCTCCTTTTCGGAAAAAAAGAAAAAAAAAAGGTTGGAGTTGCGAAACCATGGTCCCCATCTCTATCTCTCAATAATTATCTTGAAATAATTAATGTATTGAAATAAGGTGAGAGTTGAAAGTGAAGGACATATATTTTTAACAAAATTAAACATCACAAAGTAAAAAATAATAAAAAACATAGTTATTATTTTTAAATTATCTACCATATTACTAATACGATAGATAATTTAAAAATAATAAATGTGTTTTAATTATTTTTTAAAGTTTAGTTTTAATTTTTTTTAAGGCCAAAACTTCTATTTGCACCATTCATTTATTTTCTTTTCATGGTTAATACCTTACAAAATTTTTCCCCCTTATCAACATCCTCAACTTTTCCAAATCTATGAAAAACTCAATATTTTAATGGGCTATCATGTGAACGTTAATAACCGTTAAAAAGTGCAATACATGGCACCCATAAAAGTGACGTGGCATTATGTGGCGTTATTAATCCATTGTGGACCCCTTTTCGATGATGTGGCATAATATTCTACACACGTGGACGTCACATGTGCAGTGGGCCCCACTATTGGTGGGACTTTTCATGCTTGTCCTCACGTCCTCACCATAAAAAAACCTAAAACAAGGAACTTTTAAAACAAATTCGCAACACCCCTTCTATTCTCAGGCTTAAGAAATAAACCCTAATCCAGAACCCATCAATTTGGTGTGATTGAAGGGAATCTATGTCAGTGTGTGGTCTGAAAAGCGAAGGAAAATCAAAACTTTGTTGCTTCAAATTTGTTCATAATAGTCTTTGATCATAAGGGACCATTGTCAAAGAAAAAGGGCAGGATTAAGGGCACGAAAAGAACAGAAAGTTTGGTGAATGCCTTTCTGTTGGCAATAAGTTTTATTTTTCTATCATTCTTTGTGGTTTTTTTTATTTTCTTCAAGAATGTTGTTCTTTTATGTCCCACCGATTGTGTCCCACTATCAGTGTCCCATGTTATTGGAAGATGTTTCCTTCTTTTTATTTGTGTTGTCTTATTATGTTAGTTTAATTAATTAAGTAATTAATTAATAATATTAATTTATTTGTTGTATAGTAATGGGGGATGAAAGTGGAGGTATTATATGATTCAATTATGGTGGGTGTTTTGTATAGGGAACACCATTTAGATATGTAGAGGGTGTACAATAGGATGTTCCATGTGATATGGATAGATTCAATTCATTTATGATTACTGACCATGTTATTAGACAAGGTTATGATTGAGTTTCAATTAAAAACATTTACTATATGCAACCTTGGATGGATATGCCAGATGGATTAGTTTCTTGTAACTTAGATAGTGTAATTAGAGAGATGAATAATATAATTTCATAGGCTAGCAATGTGGAGTTGTATGTTCACCATGACATCAATATGCTTGAGATTATTGAGGGTCCACTATTGCTCACAGGACTAGTAAGTAATGATAAGAAAGTGTTAGATGCTGAAAATGAGGGTGACAACAGTGGTAGTGATGTTTCTATGCATGGGGATATGGGTAATTTAGGAAGTGAAAAAAGCAGTGATGTCGATAGTGGTAGTGATGATGTGTCAGTTATTGACTAGGACACAAGTTTAGATGATAGTGCATGGTCATTGGGGAGTGACAAAATTGATGATGAGTAAGTTAGTATTGTTGAGTTGGCTAAGGAGGTTAGGAAGAGAAGGAGAAATGCCATAAGGAGCAGTAGAAACAAGTTTAAGGCAGTTGTGCATACTGCAACTAGGAATGAGCAAGAAGATGATCATGTTGAAGAACCTATAGTTACTTAAGATCAACTAACTGTCCAGCAACAACAGCAACTTGTAGTCACAGATGATCAAGCTACTGTTCAAGAAGCTACTGTGATAGATGTTGCTGGTATAGAACAAATTGCAAGGGAAACATGCAGTAAAGGTAGAAAAAAGAAATCTATTCCTTAGCATAAAGTCAGACAAAGTGGTGGGAATATGGTGAGAAAAGGTGATCCAGTTGACAACACGGAGCAACTACTTGTCAATGATGACAGTGGTTCCTCTACAAATGAATAAGACAGGGAGTCTAATTATGCTTACAGTGATGATCTTGATGCTTGGGAATTTCATTGGAATTTTGATGATGAGGATGACATATTTGTGCAACTAGATCATGTTGTTAGTAGAAATGTCTGTTAAACCTACTATAACCCAAAATGGAAGATCCCATATTTTGATATTGGGATGAGGTTCAAGGATGCAAAGCAATTTAGAATGGTAGTTTGTAAATACTCCATACAAAAGCAAGCTCAACTACGAAAGGTTAGAAATGAATGTGCTAGGGTGAGGTTCATATGCCAAATAAGGTGCAAATGGGAGTTGTTTGCCTCTTATGACCCAAGATATGAGTGTTTTGTGGTGAAGACATACTAAAGGGAGCATAGATGCTTCAAATCACATGACAATGAGCTTGTAACTTACAATGTTGTAATAGATATTTTTAAAGGAAGGATTTATGAAGCACCATTTACAAAGCCATTTGAGATTGTTAAGTGGTGCAAGAGTGAAATTAAAGTAAACATCACACTTGACAGGGCAGAAAAGGCAAAGAAGCATGTTATGATACAACTAGAGGGTAGCTATGTTCATGAATACAAATACTTGAAGAGCTATGCCAAAATATTGAGGGGGAGCCATCCAGAAAATACTATTGTTGTCACTACCACTGAAACTAGTTCTAGTGAACCTTGAACTTTCCATAAAATGTATGTTTGTCTACATTCCCTAAAACAGGTTGGAAGGATGGGTGTAGGAGGTTCTTTGGTGTAGATGGCTGTTTTTAGAAGGGAATATGTAAGGGAATTATGTTATCGGCAATTGGGAAAGATAGGAATAACCAAATGATTCCAATTGCTTGGGCAGTAATGGAGTTTGAATGTTTTGAGTCATGGTAGTGGTTCTTTGAACTATTGAAAACTAATTTAGATTTTGGCAGTGGTGCAAGCCTAATAGTGATGTCAGATGAAGATCAGGTGAACATCAGGTGAACATCAGGTGAACATCAATTGCTTTTATTTATTTGTATGCATTTATTTCTAATTATTAATACTTTATGTTAATTGTTGTAAAAATTACTAATTGTTGCTATTATTGGTTTTAATTATTGGGATAGGCCATAATATCCACTGTAGAATTGTGCAAAGGCAACGTTTGAGGATGATTTCATTGATAGGTTAGGTGATTTGTTTGCAAAGAATAGGCAAGGACATGATGACTTGTTAAGGCACTCTAAAAAGCACTAGTGCAAAACATTTATCCAAGATAATTGTAAATGTGATTCAATTGACAACAACATTTGTGAAACTTTCAACTCTTTGATACTAGGGGCAAGGTGTAAGGCAATAATTGCAATGAATGATCATATTAGGGATCAATTGATAGTTAGGATAGTTGACAAAAGGCTATTTGTAGAAAAATGGCCTCAAGGTGATGACATTGCTCCTAGAATCAGAAAAAAGCTTGAGGAACTGAAGGAGGAGTCACAGGGATGCAGTGTGTAGCCAAATGGGGTTAATGAGTTTGGGGTGAATGATGGTGGGGATTAGCATGTTGTCAAATTTAATGACAAAACTTGCACATGTAGATATTGGCAACTCTCAAGGGTTCCTTACCCTCATGCTTTGGCTTGTGTAAGGTACAAAAGGTGGAGAGTAAACCACTACATTTTAGATTTTTATAAGAAAGAAAAATATTTGGCTGCCTATGCATATCCTTTTTAATGCATAAGGAAAGGGACAAAAGCATGGAAGGTTGTGGGTGAAGAAGAGTTGTTACCACCAATTATTAAGAGCACGCCAAGAAGGCTGAGGAGAAAAAGAAGAAGACATAAAGATGAACCACAAAAGATCAAGAAAGGGAAGCTTAGGAAGCTTACTGGAAAAAGAAGAAAAATGACATGCAAGGTGTGTGGTAAGGAAGGGCACAATTGGAGAACAAACCCATCTAACACTATAGAAGGTAGAAATGAGAGTGCAGGAGTGAAAATCACTATAAGTATGATTAGTTTTCATTGGTAAAAAGATATACCATTTTATTTTTTTTGGCTAATTTAGTTGGTGGTCAAGGTTATTTTTCCCTTTGAAACTATATTTCTCCCCTATGAATTTAGTGGATGCTTGAAGAAACATTCTTTAAAATTGTTTTTTTGGTTCCAAGGTGAAAACAAGAAAAAGAAAAAAAGGAGGTGAAGGTGCCTCAACCTTAGGTAGCCAAAACAAGAAGGCAAGGCTTCCTACAGCCACAGGGAGCTTTTACTGTATGTTCAAAACCATATATATATATATATATATATGTTTATAAGTTTTATAGTTAGATTGTTAATAAAGTAAATCACCATGCGTGTTGAATGGTGTAGCCTGGACTTGGGGACGAACAAAGGTTGATGAAGGGTGTTGATGCTGGTGCCAGCAATGTCCCTGCAAGACCTACCATATTTTCAACAAAAGGCAATGAGAAGGCCTAAATATTGCCTTTTAAACGGAAATGCTTTGTTAATTTTTGTCCTTTTTGAACACTAGTGATTTAGGGCTTTGGTTTATTCAAATTGTGACCAAATAGGTTAAACCAAGGCCATGTCCTTCTATATAACTTGTATCAGTGAATGACCAAAAATAACAGTATATAGGTCATATGGATTCTGCATTTTGTATATTTTATAATAGTAAATTTTAAAAAACAACGATTAATATATGGTCGAATAGGGGATTTGGTTTTGTATATTTTCTTTCAATGAATGGCAAAAAAAAAAAGAAAAGAAATTATTACTATAAAGGGTTTATATATGTATACCTTGTTTGCAAATAAGTGATAGTGATGTACACAACATAACATTTCATTTCATTTAGGTAATTTTTTTTACCAAATTGGGTATAACTTTTGGCCATTTTCAAACTTACATGAAATGCCCAAAAATACACAAAACCACACTCAAATTTCCAACATGCTACCAAAACAAAAAGTTTGGAAATGCCAAATTCAAAAAGCAAAGTGCAACAATAACACATCCAAGTTTACATAATGC